GGGAGCAGGAATGGGGTAAAGCCAAAGCAATTATTTGCTTTTGGAAACAAGTAAATGCTTAACAGAAATCAGAATGAGGAGAGTTGAACTGTGCTTGTTCAGTTTTTTATTTCCAGGTTCCTTTGGGCTCCTGACATATCTTTGGGCACCTGAAATGCCACCCCAATTACAGCCACCATCCTTGATCCTGAATGAAAAATCCCGTGGGACTGACAAATTGCTCTGAGAAAGAGGTCCTCTTCCCACCTGCTCTTCAAAAGCAACCAAGATCAACACACCTGCACAGCCACATCTACAGAACATTCAGTCCGATTTAAAGTCACCATTTCCATCAAATTGTTCTCCAATTCCCAGAGCTGTAGCAATCCAGATGGGTCAGATGCTGCCATAAGCTCACACCTTCCAGGACAGGTGCCAGCATCTAAGACAACTCTTTCCAAGTTCCTGATTAAGGCTCAACAGCAAATATATGGAAAGCAGTAAGCAAAATTGCTTAGAATTCCTGTTTTCACCCTAGATTCCCAGAGGAAACAACAAATTTGGAGGATCAACTGGCCAAATCACGTAATTGTCAATAGAAAAATTTCTCCTACGATATATACAGCATTTAGGCAGAGACCTAATACAAATTCAGTTCTGTTAGAGGTGATAAATGACAGACAAAATCCTTATCTCCAAGCTCCCCCTTCCTATTTTTACCTCCTGATGTCTTTTGTCCCAGAATCCCGTTTCAGTCTACATTCAATACCGTGGCCTGTTTGGGAAGGGGGGTGGTTAGCATGAAGCGCTGAGCTGAGAAGCTACAGTGGGCATAGAGGTGAGCAGAGCCCCTCTCCCGAGTGGAAGGGAAGCCGAGAGGATGCAGCAGCCTCGCAGCACCGCGCAGCAGAGCGGCAGTGTCGCCCGCTGGCCGCTCGCAGCATTGCCGGTGCTCTGACCGCAGCATCCTTACTCCTCCGGGCCCCCTCCACCTTCCTCCCTGCTCTCACTTTGGGGAAACCGGTGGAATTGGCAGCCCTGAAGATTCCCCAACACAGAACGCCTTTGCTGAGGATCAGGCCAGAGCACCGTGGCACAACAAGCCCAGGAGGTCTGAGGGCACAACCCATCCATGCAGAGTATGGATGGATGCAGCCTACCCATCCAGAATGCAGGTAGAACCACACAACCCAGATCAAAAAGATCATCTCATATCCTTAATATCCTTACCTTCTCTTCCTATTTCCACCCTGCCCAGCTTCTGCCCTCTGCGAATATAAATCGAAAGGGTAATTAACAACTTCCTCAGCAGGAATAGAAGTCACCTTAGATAAGATACCTGTGCAATCACTCTGGGATATCAACATAGCAAAACGTATCCTCTGCACCTGTCAATGAATGGCTACTTCAGAGCAGTTGAGCTTTATCAGAAACCTGTACTTCAATTATGACCTCTGCGTCAATGAAGAAAGCACAGATGTGTGCAGAGTCACATCTCTGCACGTGAAAATGTGACCCAAGCACTCCGAATCAAGAATAAAAAGCAATGAGCAGAACAACACTGCCCTGCTCCTCCGGAGAGGAAATGGAAGGGCAGGCACTGAACTCTTCTTCTCTGGTGACCCGTGATAGGACCCAAAGGAATGGCCTGAAATTGTGTCAGGGGAGGTTTAGGCTGGATATAAGGAAAAGGTTTTTCACCCAGAGAGTGGTTAGACACTGCAGCTGGCTTCCCAGGGAAGGGGTTACAGTACAAGTCCTGTTAGGAGGTGACATGAGGATATGCAGATTGGTAGGAATGACATCAGATACCTGAATACATGAATTTAGTTTAGTAAGGGAAGTTTGAAGCACTGAATTAAAAGGAAAAAAAAGTTTAGGAAACACATTCAGAGACACTGTAGTCAAACTTCTGAGCCACAGACTTTTGGCTCAGAAGAAGTTCCTACTTAGGTCCAGTTTTGAATTGATCTTTTGAAGATGTTGGGCTCATTAATGAATTATTAATGCTGTAGCTCATCACCACCCAAATCTATTTAAAGCTTAAGCTGGAGCAAGAGCAAGTGACCCCTCTGCTACCTCCTTACTGTTCTTCCTCCAGTAGGTACCAGGGTTATTAACAAGACTTGTGTTTTCTGACCTGTATTATTAAGACTGCAGGAGATGTCCTGCAGTCACCAAAAAACCCAGACAAAACCAAACCTGAAACCAAACAGATAAATAGATCATGAAAGATGTTCCGGCATCTTGACAGCCCACATGGATAATTTGGAGGCAATTATTAATTAAAACATCAGCTTTTTGTCCAAGACTGGATGTCCCAAGAATTGGCTCAAAATGAAAATTTATTGTTGCAACTCAGTATGGATTAGGCAACTCAAACATACAGATATGGGAACCTGCTACCAGACCAAGGGAGAGTGAACCATAGAGAGCAAAGCATTCAGGTGGACTAACCACAAGATCTGCAGGTGACAGAACACACTACAGGCCGTAGTGTACAATTATCTGTGGTCGGCGCTGGAAGCACCGGTCAGCAGCTCAGGTTCATCCTCAGCAGAGGATGAGCTGCTCTTTTACCATTCCAGTCTCCACCAAGCCATTCATGATGCTCTTTTTCTCTCCACCTTGCAGCACATGGCCTATTCTCCCCAGCCCTCCTCAGAGGCAAATGGGAAGAGGCAGAATGATGTTTCATGTGTTCTCTCCTCCCTCCTTAGATCTGTCCATTCCTCCACTCATGGAGCTCTATGCTATTCCTCAAGGCACAGACATGAAGGACATACCAAGGTGAGCCAGGCTTCTTCAAGTTATTTAAGTTTTCCTCAGATTCATCTTAGAGCATTCAAGCAACGAAGTGTGCAATTAACTGGAAAGGAAAAGTGGGTTTTAATGGCTTCACTAGTAAAAAGAGCCACTTTACTGGACAGTGCTACTAATGTCTCCATAGTTATACCTATAAATACAGTAGTGTACTGAGTTTGCATGGCAAGGGTTTGGTAGCAGGGTGGCTACATTGGTGGCCTCTGTGAGAAGCTGCCAGAAGCTTGTCCTGTGTCCAACAGAGCCAACGTCAGCTGGCTCCAGCATAGACCCAGTGCTGGCCAAGGCCAAGCTCATAGGCAATGGTGGTAGTGCCTCTGGGATTTTGGATTTAAGAGGGGAAAAAAACCCCATGCAACAGCAACTGCAGAGAGGAGAGTATGTGAGAGGAACAGCTCTGCAAGTACTCAGGTCAGTGCAGAAGGAGAGGAAGTGGTCTGCGAGAGACTGAAATTTTAAAGGTTAATGAGCAGCGGGTGCTTTGCTGACAGTGTGCAAGGTAACAGCCCAGGTGCAGAGGGGGTGCATGCACACCATCACCAGAAGATAACCATGACAAATGAACTTCTGTTTAGCAAAACATTGTTTTTTGAGCAAGGGAGAAGGCTGGTAAGAAGCAGATCCCGTGGAGCTGGGATAATGCTTTTTATCAAGCTAATGTCCTTCCTTACACAGCTGGCTCAGGTGTAAAACTCCTTCCACCCACACACCACTGGCTCTCACCACCCCTCACCTCACCTTCCCCCCAGAAGGTATTGGGATATTCAAATTAACATGTAGGCCTGAAGGTGTTCATCCCTTCTGATGGGGCATAACTGGCCTGAGAGGCAGCTGTCATGTCTTAGAAGGTGTCATAAACCATCAACAACTAATTTCTGGGGCCTTCTACCAGAGACCGCACATCATCCACCGTGTTACATCAGACAGTGTAAACCCCACCCCCACCTCCAGGGGTGGTATCTGGGTGTTCCCACCTGAACCCAAACATATCTTAACCCATTGAACTTTATGTTGCACAGAGCCCCCCCAACCGCAACGGATCAAGACCACGACCCGTCACCTTGATCAAGATCTAAACTGCATCAAGCCCCATTACTGGATCAACAGCTGGTTGTATCTTTCCTCTCCACTATCTACTCTTATGTATTTTCATAAGTAGTATCTTTATACTTTTATATTGTTTCATTTCTATAGATAGTAACCAAACCAGCTAAATAGCCCCTTTCCATTGCAACCAAATTGTTCTAAAATAAACCATATATATACATACATATATATATATATTTATAAACACCATCCAGTGTTGTTCTATTCTAAGCCACCCCAAGGGATCTATTAACAAGATCTATTAACAAGAACCTTGGTTACCCCACCTTCAGGGATGGGTCCTGACAATGCCAGACCAGGTTCCCCAGCACCCCTGGCACAGACCATGGTGAAGCAGCTGTCCCCCTGCAGCCCATGGAGGTCCACAGTGGAGCAGAGATCCACCTGCAGCCTGTGGAGCACCCCATGCTGGAGCAGGGGTATGTCCAAAGGTGGCTGTGATACTGCAGGAAGCCCACACTGGAGCAGGCTCCTGGCAGGACCTGTGCCCCCGTGAAGAGGAGTCCATGCTGGAGCAGGTCTGCTTACAGCACTTGTGACCCCATGGCAGACCCACACTGGAGCAGCCTGTTCCTGAGGGATGCCACGCCCTGGAAGGGACCCACAATGGAGCCATCTGTTTCTGAAGGACTGCACCCTGCGGAAGGGACCCTATGCTGGAGCAGAGGAAGCGTGAGGAACTCTCTTCCTGAAAAAGATGGAGCAGCGTAGTCAGCGTGTGATGAACTGACTGCGGTTCCCATTCCTTGTCCAGGTGCTGCTGGTGGGGGGGGAGAGAGAGAAAAATCAAAAATTGAGCCTGGGAAGAAGGGAGAGTTGAGTGGAACCAACATTTGGTTTTATTTCTCATTATCATATGATATGACTGGTAATAAACTAATTTACCCAAGTCAGGTCTGTAATGGTAACTAGGTAACTAGATTTCTCCCTGCCCTTATCTCAACCCACAAATCTTTTCCTTGTATTTTCTCTTCCCTGTCCAGCTGAGGAGGGAAGTGATGGAGCAGCTCTGGTGGGCACCTGGCATCCAGCCAAGATCCACACGTAACACAACAGACAGAACTTCCTGCAGAAAAGATGAACATGACTGTACTCCATTATCACCTTTTTATTGGTAAAAGGACAGATCTTGACAATGGGAAAAAAAGATGTTTCACATGGAGAACAGGAAGTAGCTTCTACTGGTCTTTCAATTCCTTCAGTCTTCTGATGGCAGATTTGACTGTCACTGCAGAGGTGGTACTGGAGGAAGAAACAGAGTCATTTGCATGTGTCAGCAGAACAACTGTGCCAGTGCTATCTTTTTTTTTTAAGAAAGCACAACTCATTTTGAATAGTTATCGTCTGATTGCGCTGTCAACAGGAGTCTAATTCCACTTCTGTTTTCATGACAACAAAGCGTAGGCCTTGGCCTACAGAAGCACATGCAGCTTCACAGGCTACATCTTAACCCAAATTACCCAGTCACGCACCCACCACATGCACATGGTGTGGGCTCAGCTCCCTCACAACTGTTACATGTGGAGCAACAGTGTCTTCTATCAAGACTGTGGGGGACTGTGGGGGAAGGAGAGTAAAGAAAGGGAGTAAGCAAGAGCACCTGCACAATAAGGGCTGTCATGATTCAGTGCTTTTACAACAAAAGGAAAACATGGAAATAATTTTTTTGGAGTAAATCTGGTTTTGCCTATTGCAAAGAATAGCGATCAAATACAATTTGATCCACTGCAATCCAATTTTAACAAAGCAGGCAACACTTCCCATGTCACTAACTCAACACAGATCTACTTAATGGTTAGTAGATTAAAATTAAAAAAAGATAAAAAAATCAAAAGCTGTATTATGCCTCAGCTACACAAGAATAAATGCTGATAGGAGCTTCTTCATTTCCTTACTTGTAAGTCCAGGCACCACCAGCAACTGTCTTCATGCAGGATCCACAGTGCCAGATACCCACAGCCTTCCTCTTCATTTTGGTCTGCAATAAAAGGGGAGAAAAAAAAAAATCACTCTCCATCAGCTGAAAAAGCCAAACAACCAACTTCAGGCGAGGACTTCAGCATCACACCACAGCATTCCTATAAGCCTAGTTAAGACAGGCAAGGATCAGGGAATGTTTTTCCTCTGATTCTGCAGAACAGGGGAAGTCCACCTGAAACACTTTTTCATTCAGATATAAAGTGCATCTTTTCTAAGTGCATCATCAAAAATTCAGCTCTTTTTGAAGGAGAAAAATAGTTAGGAGATACCTTGGTCATAGTAACTGATGCTCTGACCTGGATTTGGTGACTAATGTGACACCACTGTTCCCAGTAATCCCTGGACAACCCAAGATTGTTGTAAACCAGATACCCTTCAAACAGCATCTAAAGAGTGAGTGGTGGGTCTTGAACTTCTCTCTCCTGGGCAAGTATCCCTCACCTTGCAAAGGTGTCAACAGGTTTGCCTAGACCTATGCCTGATCTAGGCAGCTCTGCAAAGGGCGTTATCAACATTCTCACTTCACCTGACAAAGATAGCAGGTTAAAAAAAAAACAACACAGAAAAACAATAACAAACCAACACAACCCCCCCAAAAACTCTGATGAAAATACTTTTAAATTCCCAGGCACTTACAGATACCTATTCTACAGATAACAATAAAAAAATATCTGGGCAAAGCACAAGCTGATGGGCCTCTTAAACTGTTGAAAACCAGATTTAACAGTGAATTTTGATTATGTACATGAGCAGGTAAGATTACTGCTTATCAGAAATTCTTCCCCCTCCACAGTTATATAGCACACAAAAGTATACAACTGCCATCAAGTTTTAAGTGGGAAAAAGCAAGCTCTCTTTGTCCTCCAGGTATGCTGTAAAGCTACTGAAGGAAAATAAAGGCTCAAATCATGTGTTAATTATCAAGATAACAAGTGTGACACTTTAATTCTGTCAGATCTATTTTATTAGAGATGTAATGGCAATGCTGCTCAATCTTTTGCATAATGAAACATAATTTATGTTTGTTTTCATTTAAGTATCACTAAACATGCATGTGAAATGTATATTATTGTCTTTTTCATGGATTCTGACAGTAGGCCAAAGCTCACTATACACTAATCACTGTCTCAAAACTAGTCACGTTATCCCTTTTATACAAAAATTCCTGAAGCATCAAATTGCCTTTCTAGCACCAGAAACAATGTGATTCTTAAAGATTTTTTCGAGGTAAGGAGATCTCTCACCTTGCCACAGAAGGAGCAGGTGTACTTGGCATGCTGGCTAATTTCAATCTTCTTCACCATTTTCCTAAGGGATGCACCGTAACGGGTCCCATATTTACCCACAATCCCGACCTTCTTGGTGCGCTTGGCCTGTTGGGAGGCAAACCACAGTAAGCTGCGACTTTACAGAGACTGCCATCTTCTCAGCTGCTTCCTTCTCCTGCCACAGCACTGACCTAAACTGGGGCTGCTGCCTCCCGCCCCCATTGTAAAAACTGACTGTTCACAGAATGGGTCAGGTTGGAAGGGACCACAGTGAATCATCTGGTCCAACCTCCCTGCTCAAGCAGGGTCATCCCAGAGCACGTGGCACAGGACTGTGTCCAGATCGTTCCTGTGTATCTCCAGTGAGGGAGACTCCATGCCCTGTACTGGGCAACCTGTTCCAGCGCTCAGTCACTCGCACGGAAGTTCTTCCACGTATTCAGGTGGAACTTCCTGCGCATCAGTTTCTGCCCGTTGTCTCCTGTCTATTGCTCGGCACCACCGACTGGAGCCTGGCTCCATCCTCTTGGCACCGCCCCTTTAGATATTCATACACATTAATGAGAATCCCTCCCAGCCGTCTCTCCTCGAGGCTGAACAGGCCTAACTCCCCTCAGCCTGTCCTCGTACGGGATATGTTCTAGTCCCCCAGTCACTCTCTCTGCCCTCCACTGGAGCAGCAGTCAGGAAATAATGCCAGGCTGCCGCAGCCTCAGCCTCCCTCACACCTTCTGCCGGCGCCCTTCGGGCGGCAGTGTAGCCGCCAGGCCCAAGCACAGCCCGGCTCTCTCAGGAGCGCTGTGCCGCCCGATTCGCCCCCGCGGCCCCTCACGGTGCAGCCGCTGCGAGCTCGGGGCCGGCTTGTCCCCGCCGCCTCCCCGGTCGCCCCTCCCCGCTCCCGGGCCGCCTCCCCGCGACCGCCCAAGCGCAGCGCGCCGCTGTGGCAGCCCAGCGTGGGGCCGGGACCCGCTGGGGGACACAGCGCAGAGCCGGGGCCGGCCCCGCGGGCTCAGCGCGGCCGCCCCGGGGCGGATGGCGGGGGATGGCGGCGGACGCGCCCCGGCCACACTCACCATCTTGCGCCGGCGCCGACAGGGAGAAGGAGCCGCGTGCGCAGGTCCGGGCGGAAGTGACGCGCAGGGCAGGGGCGGGTCCCGCTGTCCCTCTGGGAGACACCCCCTGCACCGGAGTTCCCCTGAACAAGAGTGGGGAGCGCTCCCTGGAACAGGTTTCCTGGAGAGGTTGTGGAGTCTTCCTCACTGGACCTACACAAGAACCGTCTGGATGCAGTCCTGTGCTCTGGGATGACCCTGCTTGAGCAGCGAGGTTGGACCAGATGATGCCCCGTGGTCCGTTCTGTGACAGTGTGGAACCCAGTGTGAGAGCCAAGCGGTATATGAGCCATGAGCCCCAGCACTGCCGGAGGGAGATGGAGTGCGGAGGCTCACAGTCCTGGGCTTCCACCCAGGGAGGTCCCACCAGGATAGGAGATGGGGCAGCTACATTCACTGACTTAGTTTTTAAAGAGAAAGTAGTAGATAGATGTCAGAATTAAAACAGGAACAGAAAACCTGACTGGAACTGCAGAAAGATGATGATGATTAATCAGTGAGGACAATTCTCATCTTGGAACATACTAGCCCTAAAACAAAAGGTTTCAAGATAACCTGACCTAATGGAACCAAGGCAACTTCCTAATTTCCTCGGGGTTATCTACTGTTGAGACAACCAGCCCTGAAAGCCTCTCTGTGTCGATGCAGAGGTGGCTCTCAGCACCCAGACAGTACCCCCAGCTGTTTGGGGAACTGGAGGCATCTCCACCACCAGCACCAAAATGTGGGGTCAGCAAAACATACCAATGCCAGTGAGCTGCAATGCTCATATGAGGATTAGCAACCCATTAACCTCCATTAAGAAATGTAATTAGTTAGCCCAAGAGCTTTTTAATGTAAGATCCAGCTACAGCTCATCCCCTCCTGCCAGGAAAGAGCCAGAGCTTCCCAGTCCACCTGGAGAAACCATCTCCAGGTGCTTCTTGCAGGTGCTTTTCCTCCGTTCCTGACAGCTCCATACCCACCCTGGCTGCCTTGATCCATGACAGCCCTCCTCTTCACTTGCAGTCTATTTAGTTAGTAAGGAATTAATGAATCAAGTGTACCCTGCCACTGTGTTAGTCTTTCCCTGGCTGGGGACTGTACTTTCAGAGATGCTCACAGACAGATGCTGCATCCCCTCTTGGCTCTTGCTTTGAGGGTTTGAACACTCATAGTTTTAATTTTCGTGCCGGGCTCCCCATTCCCTGATCATCCCTGTAAGCTCTTCTGGGAGCTGGTAGGCCAGAGACGTGTTCCAGATGAGGAACACAGCTTTAGGCAATGGTATTTATATCTCACTGTGTTGAGTCAAAATCTCATTTGATACATCCTTATATATTTGCCCTTTTCAGATCCTCATCATAATGATGACTCACAGGATACAGCTTTGATACCGACGTATTAGAAGGTTAAAAAAAAAGGGGGGGGGGGAAGAAAGTAAAAAGTTCCTTTGGCTGCTTAGGGATGATATGGTTAAAAAAATATAAAGTGTCAGCCAACACATCCAGGACAGAGAATCTACTGCTATTCTCCGGTCTGTATCTACAGAGTTAAAAGTTTTCTGTGAGAGTACAGTGCATGGTCATACCCTTCATCTACCAGTGTTACAGACAGCTCTAGCAACAACTAAACCCAGCCCCCTCGGATGCCAGCCATTCCCAGCACTGCCAGAGTAAACACAGTTTCCAAGTGACTGAGAAGATAATGGATGCAGACAGGACAGCTTGGCTTTACTTTGATAGTCCACTGCCTTGAACTCTTCAGCAAATGAAGATGGCCAGCCTGGGACATGTAGGAGATTTAGTTTGAACTGCTCCAACTTATTATTCAGGTATTTTTACCTGCTGTTCCTGGTTTGGCATCCTTGAAAATGCACCTTTCTCCAGCGTGGGTGGGAGCAGTGGTACAAGCAGAGGTACAAGCAGGCGTCCAGCCACAGCAAGATGCTCCAAGGTCCAGTAAGATTGGTCCTTCCCTTTCCTCTGCTGGGCTTTAGATAATGCCAAAAAGCTGTGTCATCTTCAGTGGGCAGGTGCAAGAGTCCCCAAGAGTGCTGCATGTTCCCAAGTCTGCCTGTGGGTCTGTCAGCCTGCACATTACCTTGTACAAGCAAGCCTTGGAGATCCTGTCTGAGCCTGCTGGCAGCTGCCCAGCCACCTCCTCACCATATTAATGATGGACTAATGGTGCAATTGGGATAAGGCTTGCACAGTCTCCCCAATTCCTTGAAGTAATCACTAAAAGCACTTTCCTGCAAGATTCTTCTCCCCTTTTTCATCTAGTAAGGATAAAGAGAATCTCAAGTGTACTTCAAAAAAACCTCTGTATCTCTGCAGTAAACCAGCTGAGATTTTATGGGTCCTAGCAGAGTACACCTAGCATTCCTCTAACAGGTTGGGATTTATCAACATATGGACAAGATAAATAGAGTTCATGAGAAGCAGAATTCTCCAAGGGTACTTACAGCGTATTTCAGAAAAATACTGTTTTGAAATAGTTGTAGCTTTACAAAGAGGAAAAGAACTACTCCTATAGGAGAAAACAATATGAGTATACAAATAATGTCTTCCATATTTTTTTTTTCAGTCAGCAGACAGCAGCATTTCTCACCCCTTACTCACAACAACCCACTTTGCAAGTAGAAAGATCACTTGTCTTACAGACAGATTGAATACTCTGTGTTCAAGATGACAGGCATTTAAAAATGGCAGAAAGTGTGTCTTTATTTCCTGGCCAGCTGTTGAAGCAAGAGCAACGATGTTTAGCTCTCAGTCTCAAACCCAGAGATAAAGCATTTCCTCCAGTAGCCCAGTCACACAACCCTCACTGCTGCTCTCACACCCCAAAGCACCTTCTGCAGTCATGAATGAAAAGCAATTCTCCACCCAGCACAACTGCATACGCAGCCTGTGGGGCATTTCCATGACGACAATTGCTGCAAATGGAATAATCAAACCCTTCAATGCAGGAAAAAATATCTACTATTACCAGGTTGATCTTGCAGCACAAACATTCTCTAGAGATTATGGCTGTAAAACATAGATAACTGATACATTTGTGAAATTATATCTTCTCCTGTACTCCCTGGTCACATTGGCTTAACATTAGCCCATTTCCAAGTATCTTCTAGGACTAAGAGCAGAAGCATGAAAGACATTAATCTGGGGATCACGCTACACCACCCTGGCAATAATACACACACAAAAAAAAATAAAAACTATGCAGAGATGCCTAAGAATACTAGTTGTGATAAACAAAGCCACTTGCTTTTACATCAAGCCCACATCAAAAGTGGCCTCTAGAGTTTTTGCAGAGGCATCACCTCTGTGAAGTGGAATCAGGCCATGCCCAAGGGACAGCAACTGTGTCACAAGCTCCTGAAAGGAACCAAAGACCAGGTTTGCTCAGGTGCCATTGAGGCTGGGAGGTCAGGCATCCCAGTTCACAGGGCTGAGAGCATGGTAGAGACTATCACAGATCAAAAAAAGGCATTTTAATCACTGCATCAAACAACAGTGCTGCTTTTGGCATTCTTAGTGTAACCTGCACAGAGCTGTAATGGGAGTAAATAACAGGTCCCAGGATACCAGTCTAAACATCTTATGGAAGTAACTCTTGATTCACCTATAAGCAAAGTATCATGGGAATCAACACATCAACCATTTGAAAGTTGATGTGTTTTAGAAAGCACAAAAAGGACATATCTTTCAGACATTGTAAGTACTTTTAAGAAAATGTTAATATTTCCACTGCATCACATACTTCTCAAGCTTAAGGCCCAAATGGGAGATGAAATGCTAGAACAGAAAAAGTATCAAAAGCTTGGGAACCACAATTTAAGAAAAACTTTTTATTTAAACAGTTTAGTCCAGAATCAGCGTCTTACAAAACAAGAGCAAAACTCTGCACATGTCCCCCTCTCCTCACTCACCTGTAGAAATTAGTCTTGAGTCTTAAAGAAAACACACACCCCCTCCCTGAGAAGCCAGACTTAATCCCTGGCAGTTAGCACAATCTTTATTCTCTACTGACACAAGAAGCACATATGGAGCAGCATTTAAGATTCAGCAGATGAGGTCAGAGATGAGAGTGCTCAGGCAGATGTGCCTATCAGGCAATGCACACTTCCTGGCACACAGTTACACTGCTTAGTTTCAAGGTACCGACTGCTCTTTTCCCTTGTCTTCCCCACGTCCACAAAACATCAAAATCTGTCTGGATATTTTTTCCTCATGGCCAAATGGAATATCAGAAAGCCAGTTTGTGAGTGACCCAAGTAGGAACTAAGTTTGCCGGTGAACCAACTCATATAAACACAGGCTAGAACTCTTGGAGCTGGAAGACTGATTGTTAAAAGCACTCTACAGCTGCTGAGGAGTTGGTTTTCACAATAGTTCTGCCTTGTGGACAGACAACTGTTACCTGCTTTTTAAACCAAACAACTGTGGAAGCCAACATGCTGAAACACAGCAGCATGCTACTTGCCCATGGCCATTCAGTCATCAGCAAACCCAAACTGCAAAACCTGCAGGCTGCCAGGTGTGCACTGCACATCTGTCAGACTGCCTTCTCATTGTTTGAGATGAAACATGCTAGAGATACAGAAAACTTAAAAGTCTTTTATTTTTGAAAACCGAAAAATAAAACTTGATTGGTTTTGTTTTTTTTTTTTAATTAAAAAAGATCTTTTAGTTGCCATCTCTTTTGCTGTCACCATTACACTTTAAAAAACTCCTCAATACGCTGCTTTTTTCTGGGACTCACTGAATATGTTTTTGCTTCTTTATCTTGCAAGACACTGTCAGAGTCAAACTCACAGCCAGCATCAGCTGCCTCCAAAAGCAAAGCATCATCAGCATCATCTCTGCTCTCAGAGAAGGTCCTCTGGAAAAGGTCATAGATGGTCTGCTGCTTTGGATCAGGCTGAGAAAACAGAATAGACAGAGTCTGCATGGACATTGTCATATAAAACCTAGTGAGCAAGAATCACAGGATGCTCCCCCCGAGACAGTGCATTTTTGTGTACAGATCATACTATGTATGATACACACACACATATATCTCATACATATAT